ACGCCTCGGTCTGCCCTTGTTCTCTTCTTCAACGTCAAAGGTGGTACGTGCTGACAAAATGAGTTACTTCTCGCAATCCACAAATGGCGATATCGGCAGATAATCCACGCAGGAGTAAATTTGTAGATTCTCAACTGATACCATTTTCTTCAAGTTTTCCTTGTCTTTTATTATTTCCATCTAATGCATTATAATAACCCAGTCTATCAATTCAACATGTCTATTTTTACAGGGCTAAAATATGAGAAGTAGTTCATTTTCTTGGCACGTCTCACAAATAGGTACTTCATTACTTTCCCGAATTTAACCAACTAACCACAATTATTAACTACTTTACCGCCAGACCCGAGATCATAGTTATGGAGCAGGTCAAAGAGTAAAATCGCATTCCTGCGTTTCACAAATTCCAGTTTATTTGACATGAAAATTCATTTAAGGCTACTTTTTATTGGTGGTTTGGTCACGTCGTTGTCCCCTCTCAGCCGCCTACGATATCGACTCCACAACGTTAGCGACAGTGAGCTGATCTCGTTGAGACCTTTGTGTTTAAAAAACACCGACCTTCACTTCACACTCTCAAAGTCATTTTTTTGTCTCTCAGCCCCTCGAACTTGGTGGACTAGAGGAAGAAAAACTAATTAGATCTACCTACCTTTAGAGTTTAAAATAAAAGCATCTAAACATGCAGAAATAAGACCAGTAAGTGAAAAGTTAATCAGAACATTACATAGTATTGGGAAGATTGTCTTTTATCAACGAGCGCCTATGATTATATTGCAAAGTATCGTTTACTAGAATTAAGCTCATGGGATTTGGCAAGGCGTATGCAAATGTACAAAACCCTTAAAGTCAATAATGCATATTTGTAATGTTAAAGTATGTGTTATTAAATTTGCGTACCTGCAACTGCATACTTTATATTGCCTACTATTGAGGCACAGCAGTGGCAGTGCATATGGGCTTCGTCAAGGAATCACATCGCGACCTCAGTGCTTTCTTGTTGTATCTCCATTTTTAATAACAGTGAAAAACAGTTCATAACAAAGAGTGAGGTTAAGAAGAAGTCACATTTTCACAGTTAAAAACATGAATATACAAGAAGAAAGCACTGAGGTTGCGAAATGTCATAAACAAATTAATGTTCACGCTTTTCAAGACCGTCGAGGAATCAAGAACACATTGTTATTAATTTGTTATCCTCTGATTCATGTCAGCTTCACAAACAGCAAAATGGTACTTGTTATGTTACGACTTACTTGAGTCTTGCAGTAGTAGATCTAGATGGTCGTTGATGTTGGTGGGGCACCACCTACTGGTCTTCTGGTAGTTCTTGGTTACCCCATGTCAGGCGTTTCGGCTTGAGTGAGTGAGTGACACTTAGTTTACTCAAGCTTTGCCCGAAGTCACGTGAGGTGTCAGTCATGTGATATGTCCTTTAGGCCTACGTAACAATAACTATTATAAAGGTGTGTTCACGCTACATGTCTTATTCTAAAGGTGCACTTACAGCCCAGTACTGTCGTAGATGAAGATCTGCCTTGGAAATGCGGACCGTTGAGATGTAGGAATGTACTTTCTAAATACATCCTCAACAGAAACAGACAGACGTCTCATGGGGGCTTATCCTCCGAATTCTGCACCCTGGTGACGTTTAAAGGACTGCGAACAGTGTGTGTTTGATCTGAAGTGGTCGTTTTGTCTGAGAATTTTTTGTTATGATTATCTACAGGTCCCAACTGATGGACCATTTCCACCCTGGATATCAATGAAGAAAGTAAGGGTACTTTCACTGTCACCGTACCTTGTGCGAAACTTACGAAATGAGTTGGCGGTGAGGAAATGTTTTATAAAAAAAAGCTCTCTGCTCGTTACTAATCTTAACCATGATCCTAGCAGGCAAAGGAAACCTGAGCAAAACTATCTAAAAACTTCTGTTGGCCTGTTAGAATTGCATACTGTAACTTGCAATATGGCGTGATCGCTGGGACTTTCTATGGTAGGCCTAATGCGAACTAATGCGCCATGCTACAAAATGGGGACATAGCTGAAAATGGGTTGTTGTTTTATTACGCCCCATGTAGAGCAACACTATCTTTTGGAATGATCTAAAATGAATATCAGACAAATTCCTTCTGACTTCCAAACGTTTTGTACAAATTTGAAAAGCAAAACTTCAGTGTGGAGGAAAATATTTACAATAAAAGTTGTGTAGCTTTTTCTTTTTTTTTGTTGGGGGGGGGGGGGGGGGATCACAATATACATATAACGGCGTTAACCTAGAAAGTAAAATATGCAAGTACATGTACGTTCATGCGCATGTTTTGTTATAGGACGAGGTGTTGTCAAACGCCTAGAGTTGTACTCTAAAGGAGTGGGCGCTATAGATATAATCTGAGTTATTATTATGTTGTTATTGTTGTTGTTGTTGTTGTTGTTGTTGTAATTTGGTATTGTTATTGTTATAATCATCGTTATTATTATTATCAATTTTGGTATTATTGTAATAACCATTAATATAAGATTAAATTGTAAAGTGACTTGCCATTTGATGGACTACGACAAGAAGAAATAATGGTAAGTTCTGATTTGGTGGAAATAAGATGTCATGACATACAATAAGACAAGATAAGTTGCAGACTGTTAAACTTACCGTTGTTTGGTTCAAGTTAGTCGATAGATGTGCTAAAAAGTGAATTCTTCATGAAACAATAATAGTAGGTACCACACAAGTCAAAATGTTTGAAAGCAGATTTTCTTTATTGGATAAGAATATCAGTTAGAAAAGATAAAATCCGCCCGTTTAAATAATTAAAATGGGGCAATATTCTTTTTAATTTATCAAGGTTTGAATTTATTTAATAGAACTAAGAAAACTTCAATCAGCTTGCAAAACAAGCACAAAGCCGGACTTTGGCCAGCCACACAATCATGTCATGATCATGCACAAACTCATTTATTAGGTCTCCACGCAGACAAAGACAATGATGAGGGATACAACAACTAAATAAATTCTCAGGCTTTTGATTCCGAGTCAGTAAAGCCACAAAAGTGCATGAGATTGGCTTTTCGGTGAACAATTTTTGTTCGCTATACCAAAAAGGCTAATTTCAGAGGCCTGTTCATTATAGACCCATCAGTGTGAGCAAAATTATAAAAGTCTGTTTGCACGTTAAATGTGACCACATTTTTTAGGTCGACGTTCGAAGTTACATGTAAATACGAACGATCAGTTGCATATCTATACCAATATCTTTTTAAAAGAAACTTGTTTTTTCTTTATTCTTTTAGCCAACATTCGAAATGGGTCACTCGGTTGTTTTTCGCACTTGTATCATTCATAAATGGTTTGCCTCTAGATTGAGAAAAAATCAAGCTCATATACCCTTTAACTTAACAATAGAAAAGATTTTTAACAAGACTGGAACTAACCTTTTGTGGAATAGCATGTAAAAAAGGTACCGTACATTGAAACGTCATTTCTACACGAAGGTGAAAATGGTATGAGTTTAACGCCCCTACCTATCAACACTATTAGGTTACTTAAGGGGCGGGACCTCCTAGTTTAACGTCCGTCTCCGATAGGTCTGAGCCGAGTGGGAAGTTCGTGTAAAGTGCCTTTCCCAAGGACACAACGTCGGACCGAGCTAAGGCTCGAACCACCGAACCCGCAATCTCACCAACATGAAGGACACAAGGGAAAATCGGGCATAGTCACAAACTGGACATTATAAGGGTGTCAAACATCTAAAAGCTTATGGATTCATAAGTTCATATTAATTGTTTGACTGGTGGTTTCTTGTCATGTTTGTTGAATGGGAAATCTTGCAACAATAATCAACTAACAGAAAAGACTTATTTACATTTGTATACGTAATACTAATTTCAGTGTATGTATATATACACCGATAACGATAACTATATATATTTTTATATTCTATTAAACAGTCCTATTTCTTTTAAATAACTTACATTTTTTTAGGGTCGACAATGTCAAAAAGGGTTTTGATATCTTTACATTTAAAATATTTCTTACGAACATAATTTAATTCGACACATTTTCCAGTTTCCTTAAAAAGAAAGCACACAATAAATAAGAAAGTCGACTTCACCTTGGCTAGGTCACCTTAATAAGCTCTGTCTCCGGGGTGGATTCCCTCCCTTAGAATTACATGTTCTATCTGCTCAGTTGTTACTTTTGATAAATTTGACGTAAAAAAGTTTGAGTTTCGCAACATGTCAAGCTTTTTTTAATGCAATGCTTTGAATATCTTTTAAATGACTCCGAATAATCTTACGTTTTAACAGAGCAGATTTATAGAGCATATTTATAGAACAATAACTGGTTTCTGACCAGATGGTCTTAATAACTCAAAACGGGTAAAAATATCAGTTAGAACTTTGTAATTCTTATCCAGCGCACCGCCTGGAACATACTACCCATCTTCTCGGAAAGGCTGTCAAGACCAAGAGTGAGGCACAGTTCCGGCAGAAGGATTAACCCTCTTACTGCTCTGTAGAGACTCTTCGATTTCGTGAGTAGATATCTCAAAACCAATGTGGAGTCCACCCTTTGGATTTTACCGCTTCTATGCATCATGCATTAGACGCAGTGACTTAATGAAGGGAAAATGTGACGAGGGAGTGGGGGGGGGGGGGCATGACTTTCTCTTCAACGCGAATATCTCAGCTTTCAGTGAGACAGCTGATCAACGAAACACTGCATGAAAGACGATGTACGTACTTGGATAATATATTAATACTAGTCAGTGTTATATTCCGATGTAAACAAAATTCTGGGGATTGGGATGGGGGAGGTGGAGGAGGTGGCAGGGCGGGGGGGGGGGGGAGGTATCAATTTCTCATATATATTTATATTTTCATTTCTGTCGTCAAAGGCGGTTGGTCGAAGTTGTTGGGTATAAAAAATAATTCTCAACAGTTTCATTTTATGGACATTTCATGGAAAGGTGAAAAAAAAAACCACCCAACACCAAATCTGAATACATTCTAAGGTAAACTTGACATGCACATGGCGTATTGAAAAATCTACCAGATATTATATCCTCCTCTCCCATAGTGGGTAAAAGGAAAAAAAAGTCTTGGGTGCTTTGAGCAAGAACTGGAAACAACTTTTAAAACATCATCCTTTGTTCTGAAAGGTTGTTCTGTAATCTAGGTCGGAGCCTGAACACCAGTCAGACGTACCTAGATATATTCTCTCACCATATCCGCCAGCTTACTGCCTTTCATCTTCTCTTCAAAAGCTTTATCATAGCGTTCGCTCTGATCCACAGTAAACTGTTCGCGCCACCGGCCAATCATTCCTTTGACCATCACACCAGCAGCGCCTTCGTGACAATAAGTCCCTTCACTCTGCTTGTAAACGGGATCCTTGATTTGTTTCATTTGCGCAAAGCTTGTTGCTAGAGCAAGCTCTTCCACATCCACGTTCGGTCGGTCCAGGAAGTCACAAAGCTTCTTGATTTCGCTAACGGGGTCTTCCTTCATCTTCTCATACTGAACGACATGTACGGGGTTGTCTGGGTATTCCTTCATGAACTTCTCCATCTCGAGGACGTGGTCAAACCAGGATCCCCACAGGATCTCCCCGGTTAACTGGGGAACAAGGGTAGATCTATTTAAGATAAGATAAGATAAGATAAGATAAGATAAGATAAGATAAGATAAGATACATCCTTATTGTCCAGATCCTGGCACATTGGCTTCGTGTTTCACTAGGTACACACATACACACGCACACACACACGCGCACACACACACACACATACCCACACACACACACACGCACACACACACACACGCACGCACGCACGCACGCACGCACGCATGCACGCACGCACGCACGCACACGCACGCACGCACGCACACACACACACACACACAAACATGCACATACACGTATATGCACGCACATGTGCACACCCATACACTACACACACTCTCGTCCCTCACACATCCTCTCTTCCACACACATCTGTGCACATGACCATAATAAAATAATAGTAAGCTTGCACTCACAAACAGGCTCACAGTCACTTGCATAGTATAAATGAACAATAATATCAATAATAATAATGTTACGCTTGATACGTATTCAGTATTCTATTTGTAAACTAATGGGCTTCTGATGCATGCTTAAAGGTCATATGAATACTTATAACAAGATGAATTAAGATGGAAGAAGTTTGATGGATGATGGTAAGAATGGCCTTCTGTATCGTTCTTTGTTACAGATCAGAAGGCTAGGTCTTCTACTTCTGGCTGATATTTTTATTTGAGGGTACTAGGGATGTTTCTTGTCCTAAAAAATGGAATCAACTTTACTAGTGCAACTATAATGCCATATTCATCGAAATAGGGGAATGTAGATGTTGAACTTTTGCAAGCTTTCCGTTTAATCGATGTTGTTTTCCTTTACCTTGTAGTCTTGTGTTCCCGGCCCATGCTGTTATACAGAAATTGATCATACTTTCTATGGTTAAATGATGGAATATGGACATCTCAATGATTTATTAACTTTAAAATACATGAGCTTCCTTGTCTTAAAAACATTTTGGGATAGTATAGGTCAAGCGATTGTGAAAGAAGAAGATAAAGCAATTATTGTAGAACGCTCACACTCCATTCAAACAGTTAGCATCTTTTTCTGTTGTTGTTGTTGTGTGTGTGGTAGCCTATCCTTTTATATGTTTGGAGCCCCGAAGAGTGTGCTCTTTGCCAGGGCCACCGCCTCTCTTAGGTAACATGGACATTTCATGATAAAGGTGAAACATAAACTCATCTACCAGCAAATCTGAATACATTCTAAGGTAAACTTGACATGCACATGGCGTATTGAAAAATCTACCAGATATTATATCCTCCTCTCCCATAGTGGGTAAAAGGAAAAAAAAGTCTTGGGTGCTTTGAGCAAGAACTGGAAACAACTTTTAAAACATCATCCTTTGTTCTGAAAGGTTGTTCTGTAATCTAGGTCGGAGCCTGAACACCAGTCAGACGTACCTAGATATATTCTCTCACCATATCCGCCAGCTTACTGCCTTTCATCTTCTCTTCAAAAGCTTTATCATAGCGTTCGCTC